TATAATAATAAATATATAATATATATATAATTATATATATAATATAAATATATATATATTTATACATACGCTATAAAGACTAGATTCTCTCGGCGGGTTAATGTACGTTGTCTCGATATTTTTCTCTTTACGTGAATTTTTGACCGATATCTATTTTTATATTTCTTTTCTATTTTTCTCTCATCACATCATTAGATAATAAAGACGTCTACGTTTCTAATGAGATCGTCTTTATGATCTAATCGCGCGCACTTATCATTAGATAGAAATGTTTCTTTCTATTCATAATATGTGCTCGATCGGATATTATCTTTCTTTCCTTTCTTTCTTTCTTTCTTTATTACTTTTTCTTATTTTTCTTCTTCATCGGACGTCGTTGCCATTATCGTCGATTTTATCACTATAATTTCAGGCGACGTGCTAACACACAACTTACAGATACATACATACTTAGACACTTAGGTCCTTAGATGCTTAGATTTCTTTTTTTTTCTTTTCTTTTTTTAACGATAGCTTTGTTGTGTTTCTTTTTCTCTTTTTTTTCCCTCTCTTCTAAACTTTTTTCAACTCCACATCCCCCATCCCCTTCATCCCAATCAAGATCGCATTAATACTTTTCTCTTTTTTTTTATTTTATTCTTCATCTCTCAGAGATCGCAATCCTTCCACCCCCCTCATTTCTTTTTATTTTCTTTTCGAACGATCGGGAAAAGGGGACGCGGGGGTAGAAAGAAGATGCCCGTACGATCTCGAATTTTCTTTTCAAAAAGGGAACGACGAATTTTGTTTCAAGAGGAAGAACTTGCCCGAAAGGGTTGGTTTTTGTTTGTTTATGTGCGTGTATGTATGTGTGTGTATATATATGTGGAGGGTGGGGGGGGCGCATTACTGTGCGTGTTCTTCGCTCGAAATTATTTTCCTTCCTTTTTTTTTTTTTTTTCTCTTTTCTTTTTTTTTCTTTTTAAAAGGGGTAAACCTGAAGAAAAATGGCGCTTGCGTTGATGCATTGACGCATGCACGCATAGAGAGTCCGATATGGAAAGGACGAATACGTAATAATCGAAAGGGCTCGTGCTGCTTATGTCCCTTACGATTTTTTCTTTTACGTAGTATAATATTTATATAATATATATTTATCATATGTATATGTGTGTGTATGTATGCTCTTCGCTCTCTACGGCCATATATAAATGTAAAGTTAAATCTGTAAATCCGTAATTAATAATCATTTTGCGCTATCGCGATATAATATAATATATAATATATATATGTACACGGTCTTACAAAGCAAAATTTACAAATATTACGACGCGCCATCGGTTCGAATAAATATACGTGTTTGTTTATTATTAATATTATTATTATTATTATTATTATTATTATTATTATTATTAATATTAATGTTATTATTTTATTTTAATATTTTATTATTAATATTATTATTATTATTATTTTTAATATTATTATTATTATTATTATTATTATTATTATTATTTATTCATTTTCGACGCGGAACGCAACCAGAGATTTTCCGATAGTTTCGATCGCGACGGTCGCCTCGACCTCTGACCCAATCCGAACAGGAAGACTATTATTTCTTTTTCTTTTTTTAAGTTCTTTTCACTCGATAATTTTAAATATCGAGATTTAACGGGAAATTCTTTTACCTATATTAAATCATATTATAATCAATTTAAAACTTATTAATAAACGCGTGTGTTCCCGAAAAATAAATATATATATATATATATATATGTTAAAAGCGAAAACAATAATATAATAATAATAATAATAAATATATGTATTACACGAGAGAGAGAGAGAGAGAGAGAGAGAGAAGATCAAAATCGAGATCGGAACATCGGATTGAAGTCTTCTCGTCGGACTTGCACTGCTGGTAAAGCGAGAGTAACGAGCCCAGCAGTTAATGTGCCCCGCGAATAACAATAGGAGTTTTTGCAAGGTTTGGGTTTGGGGTTTAGGGACGCGGGGGGAGGGTTTAGTTCGAAGGGATAGTTTGAGGGTAAGGCTTGAGCAAGAGATCGTGAAGATATACGGGGACGAGAACGGTGTCAAGGATGTTGATGATGATGGGCATAGATCAATCCGTCAGATCGATAGGAGCATTGAAATTTGATTTGATATCGCGGTTAGGTATATAATTTCCTCTTTTGGATCGAATCAGCATCACACCACTCTATCGATCACCGACAGTCGGATAATAAAGCCTCTGCATCTGTCGTGTTCTCTATTCCCATGTAAACATGTATTTATACGTATATATATATATATATATATATATATGTATACGTATGCAAATGTATTTCTATTATGTATTTATGTGTAAGTGTGTAGTAACGTGTTCAGTCTTCGTGTTTGTGTGTCCGCGCGTGTACCTGTAAGGTATTTGTCTTAACGCATGCTCTTGACGTGCTGCTAGGAAGCTGACTAGATTATTATTAGTCTATAATACGAAACGTTTTCTCGGATCATCTCCGATTACAAAGCTCAAATGTTGTTTTTTCTTTTTGTTTTTTTTTTTTTCGCGCGCGCGGGGATACGAGCTTTACAATCGGGGCCGCGGGGTGAGTGGGGGCTAGGTGTTAGAGCAACCACGTCTCGTCAAGGCCAATCCCAAATATTTGATCTTGTTCCTTTCTTCTTTTATTTTCGAGAAGATACTTTGACGAGATGAAGAGCTCATATATTATAATATATAAGATCGGAAGAATAATAATATGATAAACGGACACGCGACGACCAAGTTTAGTTTCGTATCAGTGACGTTGACTACTCTATGGTCGACCTTCGAAGAGGTCGGACTCTTTTACCTAGGCGTTCGATTCCTTCAAATTGTCGAAATAGTGCATGATCTGGTGATAATCCATACCGAGATTAAGGTCTTCCAATGCGACGGACTCCTCCTGCTCCTGGGAAGATAATGAGGACGCCGTTGATGATGAGGAGGAGGTGGTGGAGGAGGAACTGTTGGAGGACGGTGACGTTGACGGCGGGGAGGTTGACGATGAGGAGGCAATTGTCGGGGTGGAAGCGTTAACAGAAGATGCAACGGCTGACGTTGATAACGAGGAGAACATTGGGTTTCCTACTATCGTCGCCCTTTTTATTTCTCTGGACCTTGCCTCTTTTGAGTAAGGATTCTGTTGTTGTTGCTGTTGTTGCTGTTGCTGTTGTTTGTCGTCAGGATTGACCAATTCAACGAACTCCTCCTCTTCCTCACCGTTCTCCTTTGGACTGTTCGCTCTGCCTTTTCCATGTTGCTGCGTTGTTAACGGTTTAACAACGTTACTTTGTTGGAGTTGTTTGTTAACATTGTGCCGATGATTAGCGTGATGTCCCGTGCTACCGCCGCTAGATGCACGATGACGATGCTTCCTAGGTGTTTCTGGCAGCCTAACGATCACCCCGGTATTTCTGTGCGGTGGTACAGGTGGCTTATAATCCTCGTTACCATTGTTGTTGTTGTTGTTGATGTTGTTGGGATTTATTGGAGTAGCCGTTACAGCGAGTGTCATAGGTACCGTAACAGATACGGTAGAATTCGTTGGTACTCCGTGGGGTGGTAAAGGCGGTGGCACGTCCTCGTTACTACGAAAATATGACAATCGAATGAAAATCAAAGCGAGAGAGTTACGAAACTCCGTTTTAATTATTAGAGAATGTATTAGTCAAATAATTACTCGTTACGCGTAGTCGCCAACAGTGAGCCTGCTGTGGACACGTTCGGTGCAGTCACGTTGTTAACAGGTACGGGTTTAATCGGCGTGGATTTAACCGCGAAGCTATTTCGTGTCAATTTGTCCCTCTTGCAATAGGTCGTAGTATCGATGGGACCGGCGGTGTTAGATCGTTGTTGAACCGCCGATGGAAGTTCGATATGATTTGGATTGTCGAAACAAGTACCTAATTCTGGTTGGTCGACCTCGACGTCACCGGCGAGAGGATTGCTGGTAACGTGGACCTAAAATTATTATCATCATCATCATCAAAGTCGTCATAGTATGGAATAATAAATGGAAATTCGTGAAACTGAAGCAATCAATGTTGGGTAATGCGTACCTGTTGAGGACCACAAGCGGCACGTTCGAGGGTGGCCCGTCCTAACCAAACCCAATCGTGCGCGTTGGTCGTTGATTCCCTGGGAGGTCTTCTACTCGAAGCGAGTTGATTGGCTGCTGCCCTGGCCCTAGCTGCACCGGATAGAACAGGAAGGGCACCACCGGTCAGCGGGGAGTCCGGCGATTGTGGCTTGAACTTGCTCGCGTAGACGACGCAGGATACGACGAAGACGACGATCGCGAAGCAAAAGGCAGCAAGCAGGACGTACATCCCAATCTCGAGTGGACTCATGCGGGATGCCCCTTGATGCCTTATCCCGACACCGCCCATTCCTCCTGAAGACATGCCATTAGCTATAGCCGTGAGGTGCTGCCGCGCCTGCACCAGAGGCTCGTGCTCGTGCTCGTTCTCGTCTTTCAGCGGTAACCCTTTGCACAGAAAACAAAGAGACAGAAAGAGAGAGGGCAAGAGTCAGAAAATAAGCCGGCACTAATCGCGTTCTTCTACCATCACGTGATACCGGACACCACCGTTCCGATCGGTCATGCTCTACGATCCTTCCGATACGTTTTATTTAATGCATGCAACGTTTAAATCGAACGTTCGATCTTACGAACCCAAGCGAAACACACAGACACACAACGCGCAGTCGAAGTTAATTAATCTCTTGCCTTTTTTTTATTTTTTTCGAACCGAACACGAGTAACGAAGGGATAAAAGGAAATAGAAAAAAAAAAGAAAAGAAGAATAAGAATAGACAAAGTGTAGAACCTATGTTATCTAGTCGTGTTTTTCATACCAAACACGAAAAGATTAGTGCAAAGCGAATACTAATCATAAAATGAAAAAAAAAATAAAATAAGTATTTAATAATATAGAGAAAAATCGTAAAAGAATTCTGTTTGGCAAAGGGGTACAGAACCTATTTACCGATAAGAATGTCATGTAGATCAGGTGCCATCTCGCCCCGATTCGTTTTCCTTTCTCGATGATGATGGGAACCACCAACCGTGCCTCCGCCATCGTTTTGGACAAATTCCGGTCGATTTGCCAGGTCGCTCGAAGAGAAATCCACTTCAACGTTGGCCGATGCACTTGCCAGAGAAGCAACTGACGCTCTTTGTGATGCTTTGCCCGATCTTCTTCCGGAAAGACGACAGGCGTCGGCCAATTGAAGGCTAACCCTCAAAAGGTCGCCTCTACCTTCGCCAACGGCGATTACACGGGGATGATGGGATGCCACCATTGGCGCGAAAGCTACCACTTCCGGATCGAGACTTTCAACAAGCAAATGATAATCGCTAACAGCTATTTCTCTCAAGGGTGTACGAGATCCGTCGGAAAATTCAACGTCTATGTCTAGCAGACCTTCCTGTTGAACGAAACAATATTACGAGAAATTGTAAAAAAAAAATGAATCTATCATTTAAAAATTAAATTTCAAACGATTTTTAACAAATCTTACCTGATATTGCGCGGTCAATCGTCTAGTGACAGAAGTTTCGGCAACGTAACCATTTTCAATAGCCGTGTCCGGACTGATACTCAATTGAAGACCCGAGACAACTTTCACCGTTAATCGAGAAACCGAAACCCGATCATTCCCAACGCGGACTTCTTTAGCGCCTATTACTCGACCAGTTATTGGCGAAAGAACTTGAACTTCCGTTCTACCGACGCTTCGACCTTGGACGATTCTACCTTGCAAAAGTGTGGCTATTCTTGGGTCGGACACGCGAAGCATACTAACCACAAGATCGGTCACGCGTAACCAAGTACGACGATTAACGAAATAGGACACTCTGCCGGAATCGTGATCCGAAGCTAGAAATCTTGAATGAACTTCAATAGGACTTTGTTGAAAACGCAATCGACAATTGGTCGTTGGGTTTCTATCGATCGAGTTGATAGTATCCCATCCGTGATCGTTTCCACGAAAACGTTCTTCCTGTTCGTCCTCTTCCAATACGATATCAGGATCCTCAACGTCCATCGAGGTGTCCTCCATAGAATCCTCTAATTCTGTTGCTATAGCACTCCTCTTTATCGTCCTAACCGACGGATTCTTAGATTCGCTTTTCGATAAACTCGTCCCGTTCAAGCTACGTTTACTTTTGGCACCCATGGCGTGTTCTTCGGGTACTTTCCATCCCTTGATCTGACTCAATCTCGTATCGCTAACCGTAACTTCCAATGGAAATTCTGGCATCCAAACTGTGAACTTAGCTAGGCCGGTGTATGTGCCGTATTTAACCAAAACCGAGGCGTTACTAGAGCCACGTATTTCCGAGCCGTCGACGTAAACGCTGCTGCACGAAGAGGAAACCTGTAAAAAAGCAGAAAAAAAAATAGAAAAAAAAGGGGTAACGATTGGCAATTGAAAAAAAGTCACACACACATATATACACGGGGGACAACTACTTCGATCGTGTAAGAACGTGAATCATCGCAGTCTTTGCCCTTTTCATAGTTACTTCAATACGTGCTTAGGATAGTAGAGGTATTACGATGTAGAACGGATTGATTACCGATATTAACGATCGAACATCCCGATAACGTGGCAGCATTAATAACGGTATTTTACCTTAAGTACACTTTCGTCCTCGGAATGACAGGAAGATTGCAAAGTGACGTCGGCCACGGTACCGGCTTGACTGACGATGAATACCTTCATCCCCTGTGACACTTGTCGTCCCGTCAGCACCGCCGTATTCATAATTTCCCAGTTCTGAAAGGAAATAGGATTCAGTCTCGACGGATTATTATTCATGTTCATTCGATATGAATCATTTCCAATCGAACATCGATATCGATCGATTAAATCTAAACGCCGAAATTTTGTGTATAATCTTTTAAAAATATTTTCTTTTTACCAACGTTATATCAAGAATCGGGCAATCATAAATTGTCAATAATAATTTATTGAAAATTATCGTCAATGATTTCATTGTGTAAAAATAACGCTTTTATTCGAGAAAACAACAAAATATTAATAAAAAACAATAAAAATAAGAAAGAGGATCCGCAGGGAAAGGTAGTCAAACATCGAATATTTTTTTTCTGTTTCAGGTTCTGTTCAAATGACCAAAAATATCTCTCTTTCTTTCTCTCTCTTTCACAGAGAAAGAGGGAGAAAGAGAGATGCTCGACGGTTTTATACACATGGAAGAAAAAACAGAAAGCAGAGAAAGTATGGTCGGAGTCCTACGATTATGTATGCACATAGATATGGTGGTCCATACCTTCCAGTTGGCCCCAACTGGTGCCTTGGTTAGTCCGCGGGAAGGTAGAGAGAAAGAGAGACAGAGGGGTGGAGGATGAAGAGGAGGATGAAGGGGGAGAGGAAAGGGGCCAACCTGGTCCGGTATATCGAAGCAGCCATTTCCAAGTTGGCTTCCGTACGGTCTGGCCTTTGGAAAGTAACATCAAACGACTCGGATATTGCAACGAGGGAATTTAAATCTCTGACCTCGCATGGTATATTTTATCCTCTTTTTATTTATATATATATAGTATATTATATAAACGCTACGTAAAGAGACACACATATGCATTTATACATCAACAATGTACATATGCGTTATACGTGTGTATTATTTTAGGATACGTTAGCTAGCCTAAAGTTTTATATAAATGGTTAGTCTAACTAAACTTTAAAACAAGCAAAGTGCACAGTTTACCTTCCGTAAAAGGAATAAAGAAAAAAAGAAAAGGCAAATCGTTCGAGAAGAGGATGATGTTGGGGGCGGTGGTAAGGGGGGTAGGGGGGATTGTACCTGTTGGTGGATCTTCGATTGGTTTCTTTTTTTTTCCCCCTTTGTTGTTCAATGTTCTTCGAACATTGCTCTAAGGCATAGAAACGATATCTATCGTATCGTATCGAGGATCGAATCGAACTCGAAATATATATATATCCGATAAAGTAACTTTTTTTTACTTTTTGCTACTTTCTCTCTTATAAAAAGATAAAAAAAAAATAAAAAAAAAATAAAGTATATATAGATAAACAAAAAGATATTATATGCACGATCGAAATTCTTTTGAGTATCCAAATATTCAAATCGATAAACGAACCTTCCTTCCCTTTTTCAATTACGCGACACGTTAAAATAAATAAAATTAATCTAATTATAAAAGTTTTAGGAAACGAATAATCAAACAAAAAACAAACAAACAAATAAATTTAATGCTATGATTTTCGTATAAGTTAAATAAGTCGAATGACTGCGACAGAATGGTCTTTTATTTCTTGATTCATCGAAAGGTAAAGTGTTCTCTCGTTCCTTAAGTTAATTTAGTTTTCACTAAAGGTCTCTCTCAGTCGGTGGCAGGAAGGTAGAAGATATCCGTGTTAGAGTTAAACGAAACGGACGAAGAAATATAAACGAATTTGTGCTGCCTTGAGAAAGAGAAAGATAAAGGAAAGAGAGAGTGAGTAAGTGAGTGAGTGAGTGAGTGATAAGAGAAAACGAAGAAGAAGAAGAAGAAGAAGAAGAAGAAGAAGAAGAAGAAGAAGGAAGAGAAAGAGGTAGAGGTAAAGGTATGGGGCTAGGGGTGGGGGTGGGGGCTGGGGGAGTAGTAGAAAGAGGAGGAGGTTCTCCTTTAATTAAAAACTTCGTTCCTTTGCCATCATCTCCTGGAAGGTACGGCAATTAGTGTGCCGGATAATCAAGAAGCTTGGAATTTCTGACAACCTTTGGAGTGTTGGGGACGAACGCGGATGGGTGTTACGCGGTGTGGGTGCGGGAGGAAGGGGTAGGGGGTAGGAGAAGAGAGAGAGAGGGGGGCAGTTCGAAAGGGCGCTTCTTCCCTTTCAGAGGAAACACGTAAACGGATTAATTCATTACTTTAGTGTCACTTGACAGTCAAATTCGTTATACCGTTACGAATTCGTATAAACATTTGAACGGACGGTATCATCCCCATTCGAACAAAATAACAACGACGAGAAGTAGGTATAGAACTAGAAATAGGTTGAGTAGTAGTACAACTATGTTGAGAGTTTCGATAGTTCGATAGAAAATAGGTACAATCGATAGCTCCCCCCTTAAACCCCCTGTCCCCAACACCCTCCTAGATATTGTCGTTGAATAAAGTGGTGTTGGTATTGGTTTCGGTAGAGGCTTCGATGACTAGAATGGTTGGAAAAGTGTGACGGAAAGTGCCTCTCTGTTCGAAGGGGGGAACAGAAAAAAAAAGAGAGAAAAAGGAAAAAAAAGGAAAAAAAAAGTGGAAGTGAGATGGAAGATAAAAGACTCGTTCGTTTCGCGCGACGCTTATATTTCGGCAAAGGAGAACTGCTGCTGTTGTAACTTCGGAACGCGTTATGGCATCCTAAACGTTTCTCGGTTAGCTTTGAAAGAAATTTTTTCGTCCCTTGGTATACCCCCTTTTCTCTTGATCTTTTTATTTCTTTCTTTTTCTTTTGTTTTTGTATTACTATTATTATTATTTTTCTCATGGAAATAAAAAAAAGAAAAAAGGAAGGAAGGAAGGAAGGTGGTTCTTTCTTTTTCTTTCTCTTTATTTCTTTCTCTCCTCAACGCCCCTACAAAGAAAGGCAAAGGAGATAGCGGTTTTGTGCAAGGAATGGGAAACAAAAAAATAGAAAAAGGGTATAGATAAAGTAGTGAGAGAATGTTCAAAACTAGTGTAAGAGAAAATAAAGATAAAGAGAGAGAGAGAAACAAGTTTATATATTATACAGAAAAAAAAGAGAAATAAAGAAAGAAATAAATAAAAAGGGATGAATAAATGGAGATATCGAAATGATCGAGGTACCCGATAGATATCTTTAGAGAGGTACACTGAGCTGTTCAAAGTAGTAAAACTCAATCACGTATTCCACGTGGCCGGCAAGAAAAGGAGAGAGAGAAAGAGAGAGAAAGAGAGAGAGAGAGAGAGAGAGAGAGAGAGATGTAGAAAGTGCACGTATATATTGCCGCTACTTTCGTATGCCATTCGACTCTTTACCGTTCGTTACCATGGAAAATCATCGGGTTCGATATCTTTACGCGAGCAAAAGGAGATCCTTCTCGATTTACGTTGTCGCTTTGAGAAATAGAAAGAGAGGGAGAGAGAGAGAGAGAACGTTTGCAACCACGAACGTGAGCTACCTCGTAAACAAGGAATCAACGAACAGGACAAAAAAAATGTGCGAGAAATATGGGACCCTGAGAAAGAGAGAATTGTGTTATATGTATATGTATATATATATATAGATGGATGAATGTATACAGGTATACCTACACCTGACCAGTCCTTTCATTCATTTTTTATTTCTTTCCTTTCAGTTATTTTTCATATATTTTTATCTTGTTTTTCTATTTAATTTTTTTTTTTGTTTTCCTTCGTTAAACGACATCGTCGCAAAGAATTGCCGGTGTTTCTTTGAAGTGGTGTGTGTGTGTGTATGTATATATATATATATATATATGATCGTGTATCTTCGAATTGTAAAAAAAAATATATTCGCGCAGGTTAACCCTTGTTTGCATGATTTTGTCTTTTCTTTTAAAATAAATCAGGGTGATGTAATTAATGCTCTAGATTAAAGGAAAATTATTTCAAAAAAATCCTAGTGCTATTTTTTGACAACTGTGCGTTTTGTTGTACGCAATAGTCGCTTGAAAAGTTGCCAGCAACAACAAATATACAGTACAAGGGTTTTGAGTACCTTTTTTTTGTTGACTAAATATTATGATTGAAATTTCCATCATCATGCAAAGAAGGGTTAAAGAACAAAAACAAAAAAAAAGGACAGAATAAGAGAAAGATAAAGAGAAAAAGAGAGACAGAGATAGAGAGATAAGTATAAAAGGGTTTAAAGAAGAAAAAAAAAAGAAAAAACGGTAAAGACGAGATTGTACGAAAAGAGAAGGAGAAGTAAAAGACCTGAAAAAAAGTAAGAAGGAAGGAAGGAAGGAAGGAAGGAAAGAAGAAAAGCTGAGAAAATAGTAGAAGATGGCGTTTGCTCTCGGTGAACTAAAGAAAGCATTATCCGTTCGTCGTACCTCACGGACTTTTCTATCGTTTCCGACTTCTCATCCTCATCCTCATCCTCATCCTCATCCTCATCCTCCGCTTTCATTTTTTTCTTTTTCTTTTTCTTTTTCTTTTTCTTTACCAAAGAGTAGTAAAGACTCTCTCGTGAAACTGGAGACTGGTCGAACGAGTTGGTAAGAATGATTCTTTCGCGTGGCCTTTTATGCCAGCACGTAGTAAGTACGTACATTCCTAGCTAGGTATCGATCCCTTAGCTTCACCTAGGAGAGGAAAGGAGAGGAGAGGAGAGGAGATGAGAGGAGAGGAGAGGAGGAGAGAAGAGAAGGTTATCGGCGTTAGCGGATTCTTTTCTACGGGATTTCCATCAGGGAACAGAACCCGAGAGAAGGAAAATAGGTGAAAGAGAGAATAAGAGAGAGAGAGAGAGAGAGAGAGAGAGAAAGATCTAACAGAAGTTAGTGTGATGTGATGTGGTGTAGGTGGAAGTTGTGGTGTGATGTTAGTAGTAGTGGTAGTAGGTAGGTAGGTAGGTAGGTAGGTAGCTGAAAAGGAAGAGAAGAGGAGGAGGAGGAGGAGGAGGAGGAGGAGGAAATGAAGTTGGAGGAGAAGGAATAGAAGGAGAAGAGGAAGAAAGGAGGTGTTTGGTAGGTGGAGCGTAGGAGCGGCCGAAGATCGAGGCGGTGTCGAGAGAAATGGCGTATTTGATATTACCTTTCTCTCTCTTTATTTTTCCTTTTTTATTTTTCATGTCCTCTCTTTCTTTTTCCTTTTTTTTTTTTAAACCACAACATTTGCATCACTCCCTCATTCGTTCTCTCTCTCTCTCTATCTCTCATTCTCTTGTAACTTTTTGCTTTTAGTTTTTGAGTCCGTTAACACCACCCACCGATTCAACATCCTCGACAATTCATCGGTTCTCACGTCCAACCCTTTTTCTTCTTTTTTTTTTTCTTAAGGAAACCCAAGAGAGAGAGAGTGAGGGGGTGGGGGGAGGATGCTTGGAAAAGGATTTCAAAGCAGTTTATCCGGAATTTTCAACGGGAGTGACTAGAATTTCGTTGAATATCTCGACAGAAGGGTGTAAAGCAAAAAAAAATGTAAATGGTTAGTGAAGGAGTGTGTGTGTGTTGGGCAGGGGGAGGAAGGGGTAGGGGTAGGTGAAGAAAAAAAGAGAATAGAAAAGTTTACTAACCTTGGAGATCGGTAAAACTGCTTGTATGTCGTCCTTTTGTATTTCCAAACGTGCCTGAAGTTTCCGTTTCTCGATATGACGAAACGCGTTAATTTTTTCGTTATCGAGGTGATGATGATGGTACTGCTGCATTTGTCGTGTCTGTTGTAAACGTTGCTGTTGTTGTTGATGATCGATAACACCTGATGATAATTGCGAACCATTTTCCTTTTCCTTTTCAAGCTCATCTTTCTCGAACCCGTAACGAACGCTCCAGACAATCTTTCCACCATCCCAGTTGCCACTAATCCCTTCCTCGCTTGCTTCCAATAACATCGTCAATATTTCCTCGGCCGATCTGAAAGATATTATCAACACGAGATATCATTTTCTTTAGGTCATTCTTTATAATCCTATCTTTTTGTTCTTTTTTTTATCTATTATACGACTACCCACAACCCACCACCACCCATTACCCACCACCACCTACTCACCCTTTCCCCCCCAGATTTTTTCTTTTTTAAATTAATAATTTAAAAACTTTCTTTTTTCTATTTCTCTACACCGAGATTTGTTTTTTTTTAAGTGTATTTTATATATTCGATTAGCGTGAAGGAAAACAAAAATAAAATTAAAATTTACATATATTCATTTATTCGATCACGTTTATCATTTAATAATAATAATAATAATAATAATAATTCTATTCAGAGAATGTGTTGAGAGAAAGAAAATTAATTTCAAGAAATATATGAATTGAAAAATATATTCAGCAATGGAAATCAACGAACGGTTTATTTTTAAATTTAGGATCAATAAAAGTTTGCCGAAGTACGAAGTTTATTTATTAATTAATGGTCATCGGTAAGGAAACGTGTTAACGTTAAATTAATAAATCATTCTATTCATTACCGAATCGAATGATCAAATTTGTTCTCCTAGAAATTAATCCTTTTAACAGATCATATTATTTATCTTTTTTTGTTTTTTTTTTTGACGAATAAAATTCACCCAAATTTTTTTCTTTTATCTATCCTCTTTAAAAACTTTTTTTCTATTGAAATATTTGTTTCTAAACAAACGGATTTTTATATTTAAATAATTTTTATCGCGATCGACGCGAGAAGAATTATTATAGAATTTTCATTGGAAATTATTAAAGTAAAGTTATTATTATTATCGGATTTAGTATAAAACAAAAAAGAATTAAAATTTTATTTTTAAAATAAGGAAGAAATGATCGTAGTATCATTTGACCGGTTACCGTTTATAGATAAATTTCCAAGGTAGATTTAATGTTTAAAGAGACATACTTTTCTCCTTTTTCCTACATTAAGAATACAAGCTAGTTCTTTCTCTCCTTCTCTTTCTCTCTCTCTCTCTCTCTCTCTCTCTCTCTCTCTCTCTCTCTCTCTTGTAGTCG